TGTGTGTGTGTGTGTGTGTGTGTGTGTGTGTGTGTGTAAGTAGCTGTTTGCCATGTGTGTAGGTGCAGAGACCAGAAAAAGTGTGTAAGTGCTCCAGGACAGCCAGGGCTACACAGAGAAATCCTGTCCTGAAAAAAAAAAAAAAAAAAAAAAAAAAAAGTAAATATAATTATACCTTTTCCTTCCTCTCTCTCCTTCCCCTAGTCCTCTTCCCCAACTCCCTCTCAAATTCATGGCTTCTTTTTCTTCAATTATTATTGTTGAATATACACATGCTCACACATACACACAAATATATAAATACAACATCAATCTGCTGAGTGTGTAGTGCTGCTCGTTTCTATGTGATTTCAGGGCTTACCACTGGTATTGAATAACCAATTAGGAGGCTTATTCCTTGAAGCTTCTCTTTGCAGCATACAGAGACCATTACAGAAAGCCATATCTGGTCAAAATTTAGTCATTTTAACCACCCACTAGAATTTCTTTAGCTTATAAATATTTACTTCCAGAATATTACATTATACTATGTTTGTAAAATAACTTTGCATCTTTTTAAAAGGTTATTTTATTTTATTTTATTTTATTTTGTGTGTTTGAGTGTTTGCCTGCATGTATGTAGGAAATCAGAAGAGGGTGTAAGAGCCCCTGGAACTTGAATTAGCAATGGCTGTGAGCCACTGTGTGGTTGCTGGGACTCAAACTCGTGTCCTCTACTGGAGAAACAAGTGCTCTTAACCATTGATTTTAACTACAATGTTAAATGGCTGTGGCTCCAGCTCATCATGTAGCAAAATTATTTCTAACAAGAGATTTGAATTGAAATGGTTAACTGTACCTAAATGGTGATTGTCTTAATGAGGACTGGACCATTCTGGTTAAGAAAACAAGATGCATGGCTACTTTTCTAATGTATGTCTTCTCTATGTACACATTTGTGCCATTTTCTGAATTAGGAGATTTAATAAACTATGTTGGGGCAGAGTGATCAAAATTGTCTTCGCATATTAATGTATCTTAATATCTTGACTAAGAATTACACAAATTGCTTTTTGCGTTCTCTCTCCCTCTCCCAACATGGCGGCCTCAGCAAAAAAGAAGAATAAGAAGGGGAAGACCATCTCCCTAACAGACTTTCTAGCTGAGGATGGGGGCACTGGTGGAGGAAGCACCTATGTCCCCAAACCAGTCAGCTGGGCTGATGAAACAGACGATCTGGAAGGAGATGTGTCAACAACCTGGCACAGTAACGATGACGATGTGTACAGGGCACCTCCAATTGACAGATCCATCCTTCCCACTGCTCCACGGGCTGCTCGGGAACCCAATATCGACCGGAGCCGTCTTCCCAAATCGCCACCCTACACTGCTTTCCTAGGGAACCTGCCCTATGATGTGACAGAAGACTCCATTAAGGAATTCTTTAGAGGACTAAATATCAGCGCTGTACGCTTACCATGTGAACCCAGCAATCCAGACAGGTTGAAAGGCTTTGGCTATGCGGAGTTTGAGGACCTGGATTCTCTGCTCAGTGCTCTGAGTCTCAATGAAGAGTCTCTAGGTAACAGGAGAATTCGAGTGGACGTTGCTGATCAAGCACAGGATAAAGACCGGGATGATCGTTCTTTTGGTCGAGATAGAAATCGGGATTCTGACAAAACAGACACAGACTGGAGGGCCCGTCCCGCCACCGACAGCTTTGATGACTACCCGCCTAGAAGAGGTGACGATAGCTTTGGAGACAAGTATCGAGATCGTTACGATTCAGACCGGTACCGGGACGGGTACCAGGATGGGTACAGGGACAGCCCACGCCGAGATATGGACCGCTATGGGGGCCGGGATCGATATGATGACCGAGGCAGCAGAGACTATGACCGAGGCTATGACTCCAGGATAGGCAGTGGCAGGAGAACATTTGGTAGTGGGTACCGTAGGGATGATGACTACAGAGGAGGTGGGGACCGCTATGAAGACCGGTAGGACAGAAGGGACGATCGATCATGGAGCTCCAGGGATGACTACTCTCGGGACGATTATAGGCGTGATGACAGAGGGCCCCCTCAAAGACCCAAACTGAATCTAAAGCCTCGGAGTACTCCTAAGGAAGATGATTCCTCTGCTAGCACCTCCCAGTCCAGTCGGGCGGCTTCCATCTTTGGAGGGGCGAAACCTGTGGACACGGCTGCCAGAGAGTGGGAAGTTGAGGAACGGCTACAGAAGGAGCAGGAGAAGTTGCAGCGGCAGCTGGATGAGCCGAAACTAGACCGCCGGCCACAGGAGAGACACCCAAGTTGGCGAAGTGAAGAAACTCAGGAAAGATAACGGTCGAGGACAGGAAGTGAGTCATCACAGACTGGAGCCTCAGCCGCATCTACTGTCACTCTCCAACCTCCAAACCTCCTAAACCTGATCAGCCTGTGAAGGTAATACCGGCCCCTCCACCAAAGGAGAATGCGTGGATGAAGCGAAGCTCTAACCCTCCTGCTCGATCTCAGAGCTCAGACACAGAGTAGCAGTCCCCTACAAGTGGAGGGAAGGTGGCCCCCACTCAGCCCTCTGAGGACGGACCATCAAGGAAAGATGAAAATAAAGTAGATGGGATGAGTGCCCCAAAAGGCCAAACTGGGACCTCCAGTCGTGGTCCTGGAGAAGGAGGGAGCAGAGACCCCTGGAAGGAGTTGGACAGGAAAGATGGCAAAAAAGATCAAGACTCCAGATCTGCACCTGAGCCAAAGAAATCTGAGGAGAATCCAGCCTCTAAGTGCAGTTCTGCAAGCAAGTATGCTGCTCTCTCCGTGGATGGTGAAGATGAGAATGAGGGAGACGACCACACTGAGTAGACCTCCACGTGCTGTGCTTTCTTCTAGTCTCCACCCCGGAACATTCAAGAGCAAATCAAACCTCTATCCAGACAAGAAAAAATAAAACTCACCATCTCCTGAAGACCTTTCTTAACTTTTTTTTAATGAAATGAAATTGTTTTGCATGCTGCTGCAGCCTTTTAAAGTATTGAAGTAACTGGAGAATCACCATTGTAGCCAGAGATGTGGCTACCGCTTTTGAATGGGGAAGTTGTGATCTGTCCTGATGATACCAAGCAGCCACCTGTGTGACTAGTGCCTAGGGCTCCATTCAGCAGAAATGTAGTGACAGTGAGGCAGTAGAGACAGGTACAAGGAAGAGTGAGATGTCTGCCTTGTCATTCTTATCCTGTGGTGGTACCCATGAATTCCCGAACATCATCTGAATAAATTTCCCATCCTTGGAAAGGTAGATTTAGTCTCTCAAGTTCTTTTAGTCTCCAGGAGGCTGCCAGTCCCTCTACTTTAATTCTGACTTAACTGGGGCCAACCTAGGGGGAATTGTTTTTTGTTTTTTACCCCCCAAGGGGGTAATTGGGAGTGAGTCTACAGGCCACTAACAAGTAGTACCGCTTGGGGACCAAAATGAATGGGAAACTCAATCGTGGTTTGAAAAGCTTTGAGGGAGTGATCAGTTATTTTATACCAGGTAGTAAGGGAAATGGCATGACCTCCGATAAACACATGAATAGAAGGATCGTTTCCCAGATGAGGAAGCACGTAGCAGGTGTGGGAAATTCGTCTTCTAAAATCTGTCCTTTCTAAAGGTTCGAATCTA